AAATGGCCCTGTCTGCCATAGAAGTAATAAGTTTGGGGTATTCCTTTTTGAAATCATTTAAAAATGAGTCATTCAGTATTTCCCAGTGGGCGATAGCAGATTTTTGGCCTGTGATACAAGAAAGATGGAGCTGAATTTAAGATAAGACAATTGGAACTGGAACTTATGAGACACAATTCTGGTTAAAGTATCTCTTCAAAAGCCACATCTCAGTAGGATATCTATTTGTTTTAGAAATACTCCTTAACAGCTGCATGTGGTAGCCCACACCTGTGATCCTAGCTACTCTGGAGGTAGAGAGCTGGAGGATTGTGGTTCAAGATTAACCTGGGCAAACAGTTACTGAGACCTCATCTCAAACAATAAAAGTTGGTCATGGTGATGTGTTCCTGTCATCACAGACATGAGGGAAGCATAAATAAGTGGAATGTGGTCCAGCCCAGCCTGGGCGTAAAAGTGAGGCCCTATTCAAAAATAATTAAAGCAAAAAGGACTGGGGCTGTGGCTACAGAAGTATAGCACCTGCCTGGTAAGTGAAAGGCCCTGAGTTCAAACCCAATACTGCCAAAAATGCACTTTAACATAATCTTTCAGAAGATACTAACACCTAGAATTGTATAATTAATGTGACTCCTTCTATTTCAGTATCTAGGCTGGGAGTAATCATTATATAGATAGCAATCAAAGACATGGGACTGCGCGGAATGAAGGACGGAATGGCTGTACAGACAAAACTTCCAAGATTGAGCTCTGGGGCACTTTAGTGTTCACAGAACCATGGTGAGGAGAGATTGAGGAACATCCAGCAAGAGACTTGAGAGGTAAGGAGAAAACCAGGTGAGTGTAATACCTTGGAAGCTAAGAGAAAAAAGTTTTTCTAGTACTTTTTCTTCATCCTCTAGGTTCTCAGACTTTGAACTAAGTCAGTCTGATTGTTCTGTGAGATCCTAACATTTCTGTTTGACAAGAATTCCTGTTTCTCCAAAGAAAGCTCTAAACTCCAAACTAGATCAAAGACTAACTCTACACAATGTTCTGTTGCCTCTGACATGGTAAGAACCAAAGTGAAATTGGAGTCAGAAGACCTCATTTCTCATGACAGCTCCACCTGTTGTCACCAATTACTTAACCTCCTTGTGGTGCCCTCAGGCTACCAAAGGACCCAACAAGTTAAAAAATGGATAAAATATTTGTAGGGTGGGTTATGGGTATAGCTCAGTGGTAGAGTACGCATTTAGCACAAACAAGGCCCTGGGTTTGAACCCCTCGGTAGCACTTTGTAGGTTGTTGAATCAGTGGACCACTAAAGGAGATTCAGAAGGACAGATGTTTTCTACTCTAAAAGTCCAGGGAAGCCAAGCCTCTGGGCATACACGGAGGGAATCAGGAGACACAATTCTGGCTGATTTATCTCTTTAAAAGATACTTCTCTGTAGGCTGTCGAGTAGTTTTAGGAATACTCTTTTGAAATTCTCCCTGGTATATTCTTTTATAAGATACTAACACCTACATTTTTATAATTAATGTAACTTCTTCTATTTCAAGAAAATCTTACTATAGTAGATCATAAAATGTGATGTGTTTATAAAATGTTTTTCCAAGTTAAGAGCACTGAATTTTTATAGTGTCTCATGTCATAGTTCTGTCACAGCTTTTAAGTCCTTTTATGTATTGTGAAAAGCAGCAAAAAAATAGAAGAGACTGAAGAATTTTTTATACATGGTGCTTAATGCACTTTTATTTTTCAATTGTGTTTTTTGCCAATTCCATCAAAAATAAATAAAAATTAACAATATCTTGTAAATTATATTCTCCTTCAATATCTTAAGGTATACAATTATCAAAGCCAATATTGAACACAAACAAATTGATACAATTCAGTACTTTGATAAAATTCATAGTCAGATAAGTTACTTTAAACTGCATGCAGTACAACCTTATGTTCCACAGTATCTTTAATAGGAACTGTATACCAAAATGGCTCTTTAAACTTAAAAAGTGCAATTGCAGAGTGCAAAAAAGGCAAAAAGAAAAACACACCATATTACATTGAACGTCATCAGATTTGCATAATAGATATGTTTCAGACACAGTTAAAATGTTAAAATCTACACCCAAAACACTGTTTATATTCCCTTTTCTCCCAGGATAGTAGAAAAATATCAGCAAACATTGGGAAGCAAATTGAACTTTTTTTCAAAATTCTGCAGAATGACAAAGTGAACCAGATAAAGCTCTTAAAAGCTGTGTTTTTGAGTTAATTAGAAATTAAACACCAGTATCATGCATTTGCTGCATAAAAATTGATTTGCTATCTGATAGCAGTTACCTCTCTTCTCAAGGACTCAAAGGAAAAAATTTGAGCTAAGACATAGTCATGCTTTGATTCTTGGCAGAGAGAGGAGGGCAGAGGAAAATGTCAGAAAATAGTAGCATTATATTGTGTTATAGATGTTTAATGCAGTGCATAAATCTCAACATTGAACTTAAACCTCAGTACCAATTATAGTACTTAATATCTTTCACTTAGAGTGTATGTACTGGGTGACTGGGAGGTCTTGATGAGACACTATAAATTTTTGCATTTGGAATTGCTTTAGTTCTCAATACACTGAATGTTTACATAGCCTCTTTGAGACCTAGATAAAGGGAGAATCTGCAAAATAAGGATATTAAACTAACTGTAAGCTAAAAATCTTTTCCATATTGGTAGGAAACATGAATTTATAGCAGTCATTTTTATGTTTACTCATTAACAGACATTTTTACTTATATTTGCCCAGAAAATGCAATATGATTTATGCTCTTGCCATAATTTACTATGCATTTATAAGGCTGGGGACGCAGCTCAATAGTAAAGTTGCTTGCCTAGCATGTGAGAGGCTCTGGGTTCAGTCTCCAGTATTGCAAAACCAAAACATGCATTTATAAATAAGGATTCAATTCTTTCAGGGGATAGTTTTTAAAGCATTTTAATAAAGATAAAAATATGCCAAACTACTTGCCACATGTTATGTAATATGAATTGAGATGCTTAAGATAGAACAATATACCAATATGGAGATGCTTACAATAAACATTTTACAAATGAAGTAAATGTATTTTACCTGAGTTTTGGTCAGCCAAATTTCCTTTGAAATAGTTCAGATCACTGCAAATAGGCAGACTTTCTTTGCATTCAGTTGGTTTCAATAGATACATATAGGACTTAAAGTGTGTTCTTACACAGTATATTTGACTACAGCTTTATTAAATGAGAAATAAATATACTTTAGGTCTTACCGGTTTTTCTTTATTTCCCTTTATATTGTTTTTAAGTTTTATGAGCTTGTTAATAAAGCAATGAATGACTGTAATTCTATGGCTTATGGAGCTCAGGTATGCATAGCAATTGTATATGAATATGTCAATGTATACACTTCTGTTTGTTTCATCTGCTTGTTTAACTAATAGTAACAGTTAGGCCCAGGACTTCAGATGAGAGCCATGTGAATGCAGCAGAGTATATAACACATGGCTCCACATAGAAGAAAGTCCTGGTACCTGGCACTGCAGAGGTCAGCCATTGCTTATGATTCTCTCTCTTTTTCTCATTCAAGGAGCCAGGACAAAGGGGGAGGAAGAACAGATCCTTCCTGACCTGGTATGTGATGCAGAGGGACTCTACTCAAAGGTTTAGCATTCAGTTAGGCACCTTCACGTGAAATCCACAGGCAGTGATAGCCAGGACTTCTTATGCAATTGCCTAAACTACTCTTATTTAACTTACTGAGACAGATAGGCTCAGAGTGCAGAAGAAACCTCAACTTCTTCAAAAAAGAAAGAAAAGACAGAAAAATGGTTTTATGTAAACCTGGTTTTATGTTAACGGAATGTGTGGTTAAGTCTCCAAATTTTAAAAGCTTTCAAATAAATTTCTCATTTGGAAAAATACATTATGATTTATTTTTCCCACTTCTTTTTGTCAGTATATGTAACTTTAAGTTCTAGAGGAAATGACTCTTTGAACTGTTTGTAAATAAAACTTCTCTTGAATAGAAAATGAAATAACTGTATTTCCATCTTTAGACAATATATAGAATTTCTCTTATTATGATTTAAGATAATGATTAATCCATCAAATTGTAGACTCTGATTTAATGTTATAATTCTTCAGCAAATTCCCTATGAAAATAAATACTTTAAAACAAAGCACAAACTTTATCTTCAATTGTGGATTTTTTTCCCCTAGTTGTCTGGCAAGCAACAATTACCTCACATAAATGATGTACTCTACACCTTTCACTGACATGAAAGACGTCATAAAATTTTTCTATTCATTTTACTCAAGGAGAATCTGTTCAGTGGTGACTACCATCAATATTGAGGTAGGGCATGGCACAAAGAACTGTCCTCGTCCTCTCCAGGCAGGCAATGACAGACCTAGCCTAGAAGGGAGTGAAGAGGTCACTATTCCCAGGATTAGTTCATTTTAAATGTGAACCATAGGACCTGTATTTGGAGCTCCCAAATTTCAATTGCATTGTTTCAATTCATGAAACAGTGGTGCCAGCTAATGTACCATTCCATGATCTAGCCAAGCCAATTATCGCTTATTTGAGGAGTAGAAAAAAATCTATGTACAAAATTGCTTTGACAGTATTTTTAGGCTTACAGAAGTCTCTTCCACTTGCTGACAATTCTTGAGCAACAACCTGGGTATTGCTTACTCCTAAACACTGTGTGGGAGATTTATAAGCTCTGAAGCTTTCAATAAAGCATTTCACTCAGGAAATTCTTACAAAAATATCAGTTTTCTTTTGATATTAAATATTTTATACACAAATATATTAGCAAATAGTCTCTCAATAATAAAATAAAAATAAAACTTTACAAGTATATTAAAAATATACAGTTGTTGACCTAACACATGACCCAACATAAATATTATTAACAAAATAGTAATATTAACATTAATCCAGTGTGCTGTGCATCCCTGCCCATAAATTTGATGGTGCCATTCAGACTTGTGGCAATGCTGGGTCCCCTGAAGTCACTCTCTCATATTCCTTCTTTGATTCTTTACTTTTTCGATGCTTGTACCTGGAAATATTCAGAAATGATGCAATTAGCACTGGAATAGTAATAAGAGCAAAGTATATTAACAAAAGAAATAATATATGGATTCCAAATGCAGTGTCCAAAATGACAAAGCAACTAAGTTTAGGTAAGACAAGATACAAAAAATATGAGAGTAGGGGAGTATTGTTTTGTAGTGAAACAAATTTGTAATGAAATGATGAAACATGGTCAAGGACTTCTCGAAGGTTTTCAAATGATTGTGAATATTGAGAAATTACACAGGAAAATTTCCCTTTCGCCTCTGTCTTTGTCTTAGTCTCTCTCTATTGTCTGTATTTCTTTCTCTCTCAATAATATTCAGCTTTGTGAGGATAGATAATTAGGAAGGTATTTTTGTTTGATGGGTACTTAGAATCAAAGATGGACAAAATAAATTCAATCTTATGAAAGTAGCACACTTTCAAATCTTCACTGCTTTTCAGAAAAAAAATTCACTGAATAATTTGTACCAGTTTCACAATATGAAGGATAAAATGGAGATATTTTCATGGAAACTGTTATTGACTAATTCACACTGATACCACAGTGTGGTTCTAACCAATAAAACATGCCAGTCTATAGTCTATTTTTACTCAGTTATCATCTTGTGATAATATTGTCCGTGGGATGGGGTATGACTATTGTAGGGAACTGACCTGATGCATTTCTAGCAGTAAGGTTTTATAATTGTCTGGAAATTCATTTCTACAATTCTGCCTTAAACTTTACGATCCAAAGTTTCTTGGGTTTTTAATTTATAAGTCTGAGTTTTATGGAATAAAAATGTAACATAATAGCAGCAGTGTTATGACTTGTGACTCACTTCTACATAAGTAATATGAAAGATTATCACATTCAATACTAAAAGCTGCCTTGTAATTATTGTAGACTAAGAATTTCTTTCTGTATTTTATAGAGGAAGGAATTGATATTCCTTATTTGGCTTTCATAAGATCACACAGAAAATAAATAAAAGAACTAACAATAGAGTGAAATCCAATTGTTCTGCAGGGCCAATTCCATCTTATCCCTCTAGTACTATGTTCACAATTTTACCCAGTTTATAGGTCTGAATTGTGTAAAGTAATTTTAAAAAGTTGAGTTAAAAAATATTATCTTACCATCTGCAGAAATAGTACATAGAACCAGCGAGTATGACAAGTATCAAGATAATAAGAATCACAGTCAAAGCCACATATTCTTTGCTCAAGGGTTGGTGGACGGTTAAAAAAAAGTGTTCACATCGGAGACCAGTGTAACCCACTTCACATCTTAAAGAAAATACAAGAGGAAAATCAATTATTAAAAAAAAGACATCATGGCTATGAATTAGTTTTATAAGAACTAATTTCATATGATCATGCAAGAAATCAGCAAGATTTGCTAAACGGAGTAAAGGTAAATTCAAAGATTGAACTCAGAGTTGGAACAACATTGATAAAATGGCTCCTCATATCTCTCAGGCTAAATTATGGTATTAAAATGACAGTTTGATTCCGCTTCCAAGGTAACTGGTAATCTAAAATAGTGATTTATAAATTTGTTAGGTGTTGAGGCCCTTTTTTGTGCAAATCAATGGAATCAATTCTTAAAACAATCATTGATATAAAGATCCAATGAAAAATACAAAGTAGAGTTGCTATTACAGCAAGTGTGTGTTGGGGGATGGGCATCAGAAATCCTTCCTACTGTGTACCCTGATTTTCCCTAGGTTCAAAAAAATTAATAAAATGTTTATATAATCTATATTCCAAAAGCTCATTGAAATATAGGGGAACTTCAAAATATAAAAGAGAGAAGTGTATGCTGAAATGAAGCAGTTGTGTGTTTACTTTGGGCACATTACCTGCAGTAATTTTCATTCATGTCCACCAGGTAGATGCACTGTCCATGCAAACAGTAGCCATTCATGTCAGAGCTACACTGTGTTATTGACACTTGAGCCACACGTGGATTGTCTTCCATCTGAACTGTGAAGGAAATGGAAACTTGAACGTATTTTATTGCATTCTTGGACTCTGTGGGCACCAACCATCCTTTCATAACAGTGACCACTGGGCAACTTCAGCAAAACAGGTCAGATGCCAATCAGTCAAGGGGAATTTTCAGGAGGAGGGAGTCCCTTAGTTATCACACTCCTAAGACCAATGGAACATACCCGCAGTAATCATGACAAAATTATACTCAATTATTTAATTCTCAAAAGTCATTTTTACAGAGAGAAAAAGTTTAACACATACACATATTACTGTCCACAGTAGGTAGTATTTGCTTCTTCAAATAAAATTGGTCTAATTTTTTCAAGTCTGAGAGTCTGAAATTCATTACTCTCAAAGCAATTAATCACAAACTTAAAACATTAACTAATTCAAGAAAGCTAATTCTATTGCAGATTTTGAAGCCAGTAGACCTTCTTTGGCTGTGTGTTCCCAAATTGTTGAGGTTGCTACCAAAGAAATCAAACTCTCCCAACATCTCTTACATAGAGACCTGAACATGAACTAGACAAACTCTGGGTTAGGAATGTCAGGCAAACACAACAATTAAAGTAAGGGTTTCATTAGAAATAATGTTGCAATCTACAAGTAAAATTCATTTTAAAATGTTTTATTTACTAAAATGCAAAGCATGTTTTTGCAATTACAAAAGAAATACCACACAAGCATCTTGATAGGAATACTCTTGCCAAATAATCAAAGAAGGAAAAAAAACAATGGTGGAAGGAGGCTGACCAAACCTCCAAAGAGCACAATGGTGATGGTCAAGACAGAAGCTAATGTTGTGAACAATATGGCATTTCTCACACATTGACTCAATAACTCAGACTGAGTACAGAGCAGCTCTCTGTTGGACTGTGTGCAGAGTCTTCAGTCATTGAAGGGAAAGACTATGCATTACTTATCTTTGTATCTGTTTGCCTTAGCAGAATGTTTGATATATATTAAAATGTATATTAAATACTCAATAAGAGTTGGACACTGTGACTGCAAAGAAAGTATATCAATTGTTCTTCTTACATACATATATGTATACACACACTTACATGTGTGTACATAGTAACGTACAAAGTTTTCACTTTCCTGTTTTGCCTGGAATCCAGTCTTTCAGAGTGCCCTCCAATGATGGTTTTACAACAAATATGATTTTTTCTCATTTTCTATCTTTCTAAAATCAAATCTTTGTATATAATTAGATGTCTGATCTCTTCTCTCATCAGTTACTCCTTTATCTAATTTTTCCAGAACTCTAGTTAATTAGTGGGATAAAAATTAATGAAGTAGCTTTCTCATTTTCTTTTTTATTCTTAGGTATTTCCATTTATATCTTTGTTTAAAAAATGTGTAATCCCTTGATGCAGCATTGACGAAGTTGGGCTTACCTAAAGCCGTGCAATTATCACCAGATTCCCCTGGAATACATGATGGAATCACAGTTGTGCCGAGTACTGCTTGTAGAAGATGGAAACCTTAAGGAGGAAAATCAAAAGTATAATTAATGTTTCAAGAAAAGAAATCTTGGTTAGATTTCTACATAACTACTATTGTTTTAAGGATTTATTTGGTCAAAACCATAAAAGAAAATAATTCATAGAAATGGGCAAAGGTGAAAACTTGTCATCATCATTGCAGATTTGACCTGCTCTAAACATTTCATAGTAACATTTTCAAAGCCCTGTTCTTGAAATTTGATTTTTTAAACTTAGCAATTACAGAATTTTCACCAATGTAGCCCCCACAACAACAGATTTCAAATAAAAGTCAGATTCTACTATGAACACAACTAAACAGGGAACTCAGCCTAAAATGCCTACATTGCTTATGTTATTTTTATTGTATTACATATATTATCTTTACTTTTTGCATTATATTATGTGAAAATAGATTTTAATGAAATGTAATCTAGATAGAATCAAAATATGATAGTCTCTCCTTAACCATGAAGGAATTAGTTCTAGATACCAAATATGCAAATACTTAAGCCCCTTATATAAAATGATATAAGATTTGTATATAACCCTTCTCATATAAAGTATATGCACTTTCCCATATACTTTAAATCATCTCTAGATTAGTTCCAATGCCTAATACAATCCAGACACTATGTAAATTCTTATTATACTGTGTTGTTTAGGAAATAATGACAAAAAAGTCCATAGATGGTCAGTTCAGACACAATCTTTAAAAATACTTTTGAGCCAGCTATATGGTGCCTAGTATGAGAGGTTGGTGAACCACGCCAACCTCTAATACCCAGTTTCTGTCAGTGCAGTAGCTGTTTCATTATGTATCTCCAGTGAAAAGATAAATGTTGGAAAATGGGCATCAGAATGACTCCAGTAGTTTCTGAATTGTATATAAAACACGAATTAAAAAGAACCTTTTAAATTACACACTTGTTTATCGATAAGTGTTTAGCCTCTGCTCTTTCAGTTTTAGGTATGTGCACTTCAACCCCTTACCAGTCTATGTGAGCAACTGTTACATAGGTGTTAAAGGTAGGCTGCAGTAATAGCTATCAGCAAGGGACATGTCTTGAACAGGTACTGTGTATTCACCTGGCTTATTCTACCTCACTTAATCCTTGGTGAATCTCTGAGGAAGATATTATTAGTCCCATTAGCCATAGAAGAAAACTGAGCCTAAAGATTTCACTTACTTGTCCCAAGTATACATGTTGTTGAATGAGTCACATTACAGAATTTGGAAATGGGAAATAATGCTCAAGTTTAATGAACATCCCACAGAACAATGGGAAATAATGCTCAAGTTTAATGAACATCCCACAGAACAATCTAGAGCATCTGTCATTGAAGCGGAGTATTACTCCATAGGGAGGCCAGGAAGTGTGGTAGAACGGCAATCGTGAGAAAACTTGAGCTGTGCAAGTTTTAACACATTAATAAACTCCTCCAAATCCCAATTTTCCTTAACTTGCAGAGTTTGGGGAAGACTGAAATGAAATGGTATTTTTTTTTTTTCCTGACATACCAAAGATTCCCACAAATGTTCATGACACTTAACTTCTAGCCTTTGGTTTTACCAGTATATGTGGGTAGTGCCCTCTACTGGTTTATAACAAGATTATAAATTTCTACAATTTGGTGTTTTAAAGAACTATTTAATACATGTAAAATAGGAAGCTTATTTTTTCTTCATTGGAATAAGCTTATATTTATTAAGCAAATTGTACATTCCTTGGATCCTAAAAACAAACTGCATATCAGCATCAACATCATAGTTTATATTGTCATGTTTCAAATTTGAAACTTATAAAAATCCTGTGAAGTTATTAGTCCCAAACAACCTCACAGCATATAAATTAAGCAAGATGATTTATCTAGGGACCACAGAAGACAAGAGTTAAAAATCTATCTCACATCAGCTTATGTACTTTTTCAATGATTTGAAATTACTGTTTCCTCGAACACTTTATTACTATCTCCTCTTTTTACAATATGAATTCTGATTCAATTGTTCTTATAGAACCCCCTTGAGAAAACTTTCTTTAATGTCCAAAAAATGGCTAAAGTCTGAATTTATTGTCAAAGAGAAATGAAAATTATTTCCCCATAGATTTTTTTTATGGAGGATGACTACATTCTCATCCATGTTAATTGTGTTCTATTTCTCTATATAATTATGTCATGCACTTTACTGAGGAATTAAGCCCTGTAACTTGAATAGTCTCCTCAATACAAACTATACTTCTAGTTGCATGTGTTTTTATCCTTGACCTTCCTTTTTCTTCATGCTTCTTCAATTGGGAAAACATTGAAGAAGAAAATTCCCAATTTTCTCTCTAGAAAAGTGCCAGTCAGATACAAATACATGTTTGAAGCTAATTTCTCTATTCTTTGCAGAAACCAAGACTTTTTTCCTTGGAATAGCTTACAACTGCAACCTGAGATTGCTATAGAATGCAGCTAATTTTTTGAGGTGTTACTTTTTGGTCTAGATGTTAATGTCATTGTTGTCATTGTTAAGGTTTTTAGCGGTTGTTAGTTTTTCCACTGTTGGAAACTGTGCTCCAGTTGTTCAGGCCACAGATGAAATATTTATCTTTATTAATTCAAGAATGTTCAGTCCAGTGTGTGTCTCCATGAAAACTGGACTTCCTTTACCTGTGACAGTCCCTTGGACATAGTCCATTGCTCAGGACAGTTTCTGTGAGACTTGCTTTAGTAATCCAACATCAGGATATTTTATAGATCAAATTGTAAATAATTTTAAATGTTCCTCTCAAATTTACATGTGTAACTGTAGCTGTATCATAGATACATGTTGCCAATTAAAACAGAAAAATTGATTCTAAATCATTTTTTCAAATATGCAGCTATACTTGCTTTCAAACAGTGGTTCTTAAGGGTCCTTCACTATGCCTCTGACCTTGGAAAGTTGAGTAGAGGAGTGAGTGGGGTTATTGGGAGACTGAAAAGTTTACCTACAGAAGATTGATTATGACATCCACCATCCTATCATCCTTAAAAATTATTACTCATTATTATAAAATCATATAGGCAAGGAATAAGTATTAAGGTCATATTCATATAGTTCCTTAATATTAACTCTTCATGATTTTAGTGTTCTTTGCACATAACAATCTCTATGATTCTATTGCAAATATCATATTCTAGATTTTAATCTTTTTTAATAAACCCGTACTATGAAAATAATTCTCTGTAATAGTAAAGATTTTGGATATTGTCTGTTATTAAAAACCAGATTCTTTTTGGTGGTACTGGGGTTTGAATTCAGGGCCCTGGCACTTGCTTGACTGATAGTCTGCCACTTGAGCCACACTCAGTCCAAAGATCAGATCTGGTGACAAGTTTTACACTGGTAACTAAGATACAGAGGAAATTATGCACGACGGTACAGATAGAGGATCTATAAACTCAAACTGGCAGTTAGAATTTCGTCTTCACTACAAATACAAATACCAAAATCCCTTCAGGGGCTATAATTTCTGTCAGACTTCCAAATAGGTTTAAGAATGTGACACTCACCTATTCATCTCTCTACCTTCACCTTTTGGAGGTTGTATTTTAGTGAAATCTTAAATGTGCTAGCAGGAAGTGGAGCCACTGACTCACAGGATACAAATCACCTCTTCCCTGTGAGTCAGGGCAGGCCTACATCCTTTAGCAATACTGGGGACCTTGTGTATTGCGTGGGAAAGGCTGAGTACCATCACCGGAATAGGGATAGCACTGAATGCCGTGGGCACTGGAGCATGTGTTGCCCAACAGTCGCTGGAATATCAAACATAGAAAATGTCCTCATTGCATATGGTTCTTTTTCACTTTGCTTCCTACTGATTACATTGAGGGGCTCATTTAAAAGTGGCCACTACAGAGTAGGCTAGGGTTCTGTGACTGGCTGACCAAGCCAAGTTAACAAAATTAATTACAAATCTTAGGGATAAAATGGCTTCTATGGAAAAGAATCAAGCAAATAAAAATGATCCCAAGTAAAATGATGTTATAGAATGAGAAGTATACACCTTCTTTCACCAATTAAATCTTTTAGAATATTTAGACCAGAACAGCAAACTCATGATGAATCATAGTTATTTGCCTGGCCCAAACAGGTAGCAAAATCCGCTTTGTTCACACTTTTCTTGTGGTCACATGTCAGCCTACTCAGGGACTGTTAGTTTCCTACCCTCTTCATGGCAGTCTGTAATTTCAGGATTTGTCTGTAACATAGTAGGCTTGTTAGGTCTTGTGTACTTTTAAGGAGTGAATATGCATTCTCCATTTTGTGGTGTCTTTTTGTTCAAAATTATATTTCGCTATTAGATAAGGGCTTGCTTCACCTTGGTTAAATTAACTGTAAACTCTAATATGGGATACATATATATGTGCATATATATGAAAATAAATATTATATATACTTGTCAAATAGCAGCAATCACTCTATTCTTACACTTGTAACTAACCTTCATTGAAAGCTAAATGAAGAACTTATATCTATTTGAGGAAAAAAAAGCATAAAACCAAAGATTGATCTAGTAATAGCTTACAAATAAGTATTTCCTTTAGTTTTGAGTTTTAAAAAAGATCTTCCTTGATAAGTTGCAAGGAAATATTTAATATGCAGTGCTTGTCATTCATATTGCATTAAATTATATTCCACGATTTTGGTAGCAATTTCTAAGTAATATTTTAAATATTCATATATTTTAATCACCACACAATACATTACTTAAAAATATTCAAATCAAAAACTGGTGAGTTGAAATATAAGATAAATTATCTATTTTGTCTAAAAACTGTGTATATCTCATTCATAATAGAAGTGTTTCCATAATGAAAGAGAATGCAACTAATTTTAGTGTAGAGGGTATAATCTATATTAATCTATATTTTGTGATTAAGAATTCTAAACATAAAGCATGCCTTCCCTCCAGACCAAAGACTCTTCTATAATGTATTATTTCAATTTCATTAAAAGTATTCTTTTT